TTTTGAGTAATTTTCTGAACGCTCGTAATTGGTCGTCTTGCACCACTTTCTTGACTTTCGGTAGCTTACTTCAAAGTGCGTAAGGTCTCTCTTGGAGAATGTGAAGAATCATCACGAGAAATAGATGACACTCATTACTGAACATTAAATTTCCTGTCCGTACAGGGTTAAATGAACATGCATTTCTTCTCCATTGCAAGTTTATACACATTTTCCAACTGACTATATCAGTATTAAAAAAAAGTCTGAAATAATAGATCTCTGCTAAAGACTTGAATGTGCGCTTTTGAACCAGCTAGGCTCGATACAAGAACGCAAGAACACAAGATCCACAGAATGCTTCTTTTAACAATATATTATAATTATGAGAAAATCAAAAGTGAAAGTGCTTCGGTAAGCGAAAACCTTACAACCCATGCTATCAGCCTGATAAAGTAGATAGAGAACTTTCCACATTTTCTCGTTTTCTAGCCTTATGAATTCGAATTTTGCTCCTCCTCAAATTGATGACAACTTATGAACAACTGGCAAAGTCTCAATGATATCAGTAATGGCAAGCATTCCACAACAGACGCATTCCACAGTAAGTGTTGGTCTATTATGAGAAGTTTGCAAGTCTTTTTCAAGTTCACTGTCACTCAACTTGATCAAAGTATTAAACTGCACATGATAACCACAGAGAATTCGAAAACATATATTTACTGCAAGATGATAAAGAACGCAAGCATTGAAAACAGACTGTAAACACAAGATTGCTCACTAATCAGTTGATTAACTCCGCACCTCTTCAGTAAACAAGTTATAAACGTAAAGAAACCCCGCAAAAGTACAATTGACTGCTGATTTACCTCAAGGAGATTTCAACTGGGCGACATGGAGTACCTTTATCGACTTGATCTGCTCCAGGTGAAAACTCTGCCGCTAGATTAATACAATTAAATTGGATGACTTAATGTCGGTGAATTTATGGAAAGCGGAATATGCGTAGGCGTGCATTCCAAGAAACGTTGCGCAGAGAATTCGAGAGAATGGAACAAACTGATCACGTGTAACGCCTTCAGGGCATTCTGTATAAAACCTAAACCTAAAGACGCACCCGGACCAAACTGGTCCACATTGCCAGTACTAATCAGAGTTTCCGTAGCATTGAGCAACTGAAAGCATTCCTATTTCCTCTGGAAGGCATGTTTTTTTTCATTGCTGGATACATTACAGCACTAGTTATGATATCCAGCGAAACAATGGGTCTCCCACAAACATGGCTGCATAATAACAATCAGTCCGGCCGACACAAGACAACTCAGCATTGTTCAAGTTATCTAGATTCGAAATTCAAATTTCCGAATACTGGATTCAATTTCCACATTAATATCAAAAATCTCGAAAATAAGCTTAAAAGCTCGTATATTTCAGTTTGAAGAGACGGTCTTCTCGATGCACCCACAGGAAAATCCCGACGCAACTCAATATGTGAGTCAGAGAAAGTTGTCAAATGTTTGAATAATTTTCTGAAGTCTCGCAATTGGCGGTCTTACGCCACTTTCTTGACTTTCGGTAGCTTACTACAAAGTGCGTAAGGTCTATCTTGGCGAATGTGAAAAAATCATCACGAGAAGTAGATGACATTCATTACTGAACATTAAATTTCCTCTCTTTTCATGATTAAATGAGCATGCGTTTCTTGTCCATTTATACTATTTCTTACATTGATACACATTTTCTAAATGACCATACCAGTGTTACAAAAGCCTGAAATAATAGACCTGCGCTAAGACTTGTGCGCTTTGAAACCAGCGAGGCTCGATACAAATCTCTGAGCCCCACAGGACCGGCTTCTTATATCAATGTATTATAATTTTGTCATTTATGTAAAATCAACGGTAAGCGAAAACTTTACAACCCATGCTATCCGCTTGATGCGAAACAGATAGAGAACTTTCCACATTTTGTCATTTACTAGCTTTGTGAATTCGCATTTTGCTTCTCCTCAACACTCGTGACAACTGATGGAACAACTGGCGGGGTCCAGCAAAATAATATCAGTAACGGCAAGCATTCCATCATGAACGGGCACATTTCACTTTTCTAGTCTTTCAAGTTCATTATCACTAAATTTAATCATAGTGTTAAACTACGTATGATAACCACAGACAATTCGATTGTATATACATTTACAGTAAGATGATAGAGAACGCAAATATTGAAAACAGATTGTAAACAGTAGATGTTAATTGATCAGTCGATTAACTCCGCATCTGTTTAACAAGCTATAAATGTAAAGAAACATGGAAAAATGTAAAATTCTCTGCTAATTCACCTTAATAAGACATGACGTACCTTAATCTGCTCCAAGTGTTAATTGTTCTCTCGATGGACGATAAAACTGGATGACTACATGCCGGTAAATCTATGGGAAAGAGATTATAGTGGCGTTCATTCTAAGAAACGGTTCACAGAAAATTCGAGAGAATGGAACAAACTGATCACGCGTAACGCCTTCAGGCATACTGTATAAAACCTAAAACTTAAGTCGCTCTCGGACCAAACTGGTCCACATTGCAAGTACTTATGCAGTTTCCGTATCATTCAGCAACTGAAAGCATTGCTATTCCCTCTGGAAGGCATGTTTGTTCATCACAGTATAACCTGAAGCAGTTATGTCCAGGGAAACAGTGTGCCTCCCACAAACATGGCTAGATAAATAGTGTAATGATCTGACGCTAGACAACGTAGCCTTGTTCAATTGATCTAGATTCTACATTGAAATTGGACGTGCGCTTAAATTATTCGCTGTTGAACCAGCTAGGCTCGTCACAAATCGCCGAATCCTACAGCGTCCTTCCTGTAACAATGTACTTTAATTATGTGAAATCAAAAGTGAAAGTGCCTAAGGTAAGAGAAACAAATGGGAACTTTCCTCAGTTTATCCTCTTGAATTAAACTTTTGCACAATCCCGTTTTCCAGCTTTATGAATTCCAATTCTACTCTTCAAGGTGGATTCAAAAACCTGCGAAATCTCGTTGGAATTTAATAGCGATGGAAAGCGTTCCTAAACCCGCATTCCGCAGTATTTGTTGATTATGAAGTTGTCAGTTTGTCACTAACCTTGATGCAAGTATTAAACTAGATATGAAAACTAGAGAGAATTCGTAACATACATCTACGACAAGATTAATTGGTAAGAACGCCAAAAGCGTCAGACTGCAAACACTAAATATTGATTGCTCAGTTGATTTACTCCGAAACTCTTAGACTTGCAAGCGCTAAAAGTCGTGGAAAAGGTCGGAAATTGACTGTTAATTTAACTTTATGAGATATCAACTGAGCGAGATCTTGTACCTTAATCGGCTCCAGGTGAAAATTGTGTACTTCGAGGATAAAACTGGAGTCTATGGGAAGTAGATTTTACGTCGTTGCGTATTCTAAGAAACAGTGCACAGAGAATGGAACAAACTGATGACGCGTAACGCCTTTTAGTATCCCGCGTAAACGTATGAATATTTTAGCAAGCAAACATAGGCACGCAATGTGGGCGAATGTCAACGACTTTTCCAGATACAAATTTCTTTTTGTCGTACTAATAAACGTGCTAATACATACCAGTAGGGGGAATTGCGAATAAATGTATGCAAATCTAGCGATGAAGCTTTTAAAGGAATTGTATGAGGTTAAGAGTATAATCTATGTATAATCTGTTTATTCACCACGATGAACACATACAACCTTTTTTACGACATCTTAAATATTCAACACCACTTTGAATGATACATTTGCATGAAGTTTATGAGGCTGGGACTATGCTTGTAATTTTTTCTTGTGTTTTATGGTTTCGTGGGTTGTTTTATTATTATTAACTGCCTTGTCAGCTGATCATGAATGGTCCCAAGTCATTTTATTATAAAATGCGCAAAGAGCGAGTAGAGAGCGGTATACAGCGTAATACTGCCTTCAAATTTTCCTTCACTCCTGATAAAAAGAGTTAATCCTACGTCGTTTACAGTTCCTTTTGGTGGCTAACAAACCGCGCCAATAAAAACAGACAGCTGCGCAGGCTACAAGCACTTTGAATGAGGATATGTCTCTCGGTGACTTCTCTAAGGTAAACACCCGATCCTATAGCAATGATTGAAATCGAAGAAATTAACATCGATCCAATTGGGGATAAAGAAGCAAATCAGTGTAAAGCAGCTTAAAGTCGCTGTTTTATACTGTACATAATAATTGTTCTCTTTTTCCCCATGGAAAAAGATCGATCTGTTAGCTCTCTCTTCTGGGGATAAAGTCGTGTGAACTGTAATGCTTCCTCGTTGTCCAGGAGGGGAAGTATTTTCTTCATTGACTAAAGGGGATGTGCCACTAAACTATGTATGCTTTTCAATTTCAGTCGTC